AGGGTCGCTATGAGTCACAGGCGACTCGACGGCACATAACAACAACAGCAACACAATCATTTTCCTGATAAATCATTTCTAAAAACTGAAAAGTTTCAAAATTTAAAATATTTCTACTAGATCTATCTATAAAACTGAATTTTGCAACAAATGAAAATAAAGTGATGCCTTACAATATTTTTCTTAGAATGCCAGAAAATATGGTAGAATCAATTCGAATCTGTACGTCACTAGAAAAATAACTCTTAGTGCTAAGAGGCCATGCTGCCAATCTAAAAGCAGGTGGTTCAAGTCCAGCAACTGCTCCCTGGGGGGGGGAATGGCAGTCTCCTCTGTAATTTACTGCCTCTGAAAACCCACTAAAGGGTCAGGTAGGAGTCAGTTCCAACTTGACAGTACACAACAAAAACAACAAACATTATAGCCAGCTACTTAAATATTATTTGACAAAAAAACCTTTCTATGTGTCAAAATGATGACAACTTACTTCACTTCCGTAAAGTATACATTTTTTTAAGGGGAAGGTATTTTTCATTCAACTCTGGGAAACTTTGCTCCAAAATATATAGTTAGAAGCTACTTACCTTGTCCATTGCCACTATTGTCAACATCAGCTAAACACAAACAGCCTTGATCAAATTCTTCTTTTTCTCCCAGGACAGTAGACCACCAATCGCGGGCTTTAAATAAGGACATTTCCTTTCACTCTAAAATGAGAGTATTTATTTATTTATAATAAAAACACATCTCACACCATTAATCAATTACATACTATAGCATAACAAACTCAGGCAACTTTGAAAAGAATCGTCTTGTAGTAATTATCAAATATCCGAATTTATCAAGCTTGTGTAAAACTACAAAATAATGGAAAGAAAACACTTATATTTATAAATATAAATATAATATAAACTGGTAAGTCAAGCTGAGAAATTATCTTTTCTGTGACACACAGGAAACAAATCCACAAAGTAACAACAAAAAATTATGTATATTCTTTAAAGGATCAAGATTCAAAATCTACCAGTAATGGTTAGCACACACATCCTTAGAAAACTTCCCTTCATACACAAAAACCAACTTAAGGTGGATCAGGGACCTAAAAATAAAATCAAAGACTACGAAATTTATCAGGGAAAAGCTAGGAAGGACACTGGAAGCCCTAATTAACATCACGAACAGTCTTCCAAACATAATGAAACATCTACAACCAAGAGAGAATAAAATAGATGAATGGGACCTTCTATGAATCAAATCTCTATGCACATCAAAAAAACTTCTCCAACAGGGTAGGAAGGAAACCCACAGACTGAGGAAAAAAAAATATGTGGCAATGACATATCTGATACGGGCCTTTTATCTAAACTTTATAGACTACTCCAGCACTTCCTGAAAAGTGGGAGGAGAGAGGGCAAAGGATGGGAAAAGAGGCCCCATTGAGGAAGTGGGACAGTAGGGAAGACCCCACCATCTGAGCCAGCATAGAGTCTGGAAGTGCAGAAGAAGGAGGGGGCTGGTGTGTCTTCCAGAGGCAAGATGTGGTCCCAAGATGCAATACAGGTGCTTCCTCAAGTAGGAAATGTCAGATGCTGTCATTTTTCTCTTTCACCACCCAGGAACACAGAAGTGAACACAGATGTGAACACAGATGATGTATATGTGTTTACATCAGTCCCAGTATTACTCTGTGTGTGTGTACACATGCATCTACCAAGAAGACATGGCAATCTTGAATATGCACAAGAGAATCAGAGCTGTAAAAATATCAGAAGTAAAAGCTTACAGACTGGAGAGAATAAACAAATCAACAGTGCATACCTGACAGTACAAATGTACAAATGCACACATGTACACTCACACACTCAGCAGTCACTTTGGTCCTGCACTGAGTCCTAATGAAGGGGATGTGAACTGGGCAGTAACAACTGTGTGTCTGTTGTAGACTTTTGGGACACGGCAGGCCAGGAGTAGTTCCAGAGCATGCATGCCTCCTATTACCCACAAGACCCATGCCTGCATCACGGTATAGTCACATGCAAGACTGGAAGCAGTAGCAGGGATCTCTCTGGAACTTCAAACCACATGTCCTCCCCCAAGCTCTTGGGTGAGGCTCCTCTCTATGGACCTTTTGGGCTGAGACAAACTGTTTCAGCAAGGTTACTAGGTACACTGCCAGTGCAGATTGATATTCCAACAGAGAAAGTACAGCTTCCACACAGGAAAGCACATGCTGCCTGCCCCATAATACTCATTCAACTCCCAGCCCTGGTTAAGTCACATCTTTTTTATTACAAGAGATCAAAAGAGAGAGCAGAGAGGAACCTCACTCCCACCAAGAAAGAAGAGCCAGGAGCAGAGTGCATCTTTGAACCTGGGATCCCTGCACTGAGAACCTCCTAAACCTAGGAGACGTGTGATGTGAAGACACATGGAGATCTTGAAGGAGTGCCAGGCCCATAGATATTAAAGGGAGACAAGGATCTTCCTCTCAGATCCAACAGAGAGAAAGTCGTCTTCTCAAACTGGTGCTCTGAATTTTACCTGAGAAGAGATGGCTTATCTGTTTGTTAAAGTCATTCACTTGGGGTATTTCTTTTTTGGCAACATTAAGTAGCTAAGGCAGAATGTGGAGCTGGAATAATAGGGGTGCTGCTCTAGGAAATGTGTAAAATGGAGAGATGGCTTTGGAATTGTGTATTGGGAAAGGTTGGAAGTTTTAAGTGCCTAATATTAAAAGTAGTATAGCACTGGTCTGTCCATTTGCTGTACAGACATAACCCAAGGTTGCTGTGATGCTAAACACTGACACTGATGTGTCAAATGTGATAATGGTTACCCATGGTGGACAGTGTCTGGTGGAGCTTCCCAATTAAAACAAGGCATCCACTTCTGAAATAGCTTGCCTCTGGAAACTCTATGAACATGGAAAAATGATGAAGGTTATACAAGTGTTCAGGTCTTTGGTTCATAAGGTCGCTATGACTTGTCTACGACTCAACAGCACTTAACAACAATAACAACCAGCACCTCCACAAGAAAAAGGTAAATAATTCAATCATAAAATGGGCAGAGAATATGAATAGACATTTCACCAAAGAGAACATTGAGATGGCAAACAAACACATGTAGAAATGTTCAAAATCCCTACCTATTAGAGCAAATCAAAACAACTATGAGATATCATTTCACCCCAGCACTGCAAGCAACAAATGCTGGCAAGGTTGTGGAGATATTAGAATTCTTATTCACTGCTGATGGGAATATAAAATGGTACAAGCACTATGGAAGGAGGTCTGGTGCTTTCTCATAAAGTTGGAAATAGGAGTACCATTTGACCCAGCAATTCCATTGCTGGGAATATACCCTAAGGACATGAGGGCCACAACTTCCTTGTTTATGGCTGTGTTATTAATAATAGCAAAGAGATGGAAGCAACTCAAGTGCCTATCAATAAAAGAGTGAACAGAAAAACTATGGTATATCCACATAATGGAATACTACACACCATTGAAAAACAATATAATAGTAAAACATTACACAACATGGGCAAGCCTAGAGGGCATTATGCTAAGTTAAATATCTCAGTCTCAAAAGCATAAATACTGCATAACGTTTTTATAAAATAGGATAGACGAGGGGGGAATGGAGAAGGATTGAGGAAAGAGTAGACAGATAATGAACACTAATTAGAACAAATGAGGGGAAGAACTATTGGAAAGAAATATATGATTTAGCAGTATATGTGGGAGAGTAATCTGGAACGAGGGGTGCATTGCAGGGTGAGCTAGGAGAGGGGGAGAGAAGGAGAGAGGAAAACATGCAACAACAAATAAGTAATTTTTTAAAAAAAAGAACACACAAAACACTTCCCTTCAGTTTTGCCACTAGAATGAATGTACTATCTCCTGTCTCAATGAGATGCTGAGATGACCAAATTAGATAAAAATGTGTCAAATGGCTAGTGCCCTAAATGGTACTACAAAAAATGGTGCCCCAGCAATTATAGCCCCTTCCTGCTCTAAGCTCTGGAAAGGCAAATGCAAGAGTAATGGTAACACTAAAAATGAGCCAGGAAAACTGAACTACAGGTGCATTTATGCCACTAACTACCTGGATGCACTTAAGCAAACTCTATGACTTTTCTGTGCATTGATTTCCCATTTAAAATTGGGCTATAACACCTTTTATCTTCCACTGAAGGACTCCTGGTGGTGTAGTAGTTAAACATGCAGCTGTTCATCAGAAAGGTCAGTGGTGTTTACTTAGTAGCTACTCTATGGGAGGAAGATATAGCAGTCTACTTTTACAAAGATTGCTGTTGTTGTTGTTGTTGTTGTGTGCCATCAAGTCGCTTACTACTCATAGAAACCCAATATACCATAGCTCTGAACTCTGCCCTATCTTGAACCAATCTCACCATCTCCAATATACCTTCTTCCCATAACCCCAATTATTTTGTCAGTCCATCTCATCCTGGGTCTTCCTCTCCTGCACTGTCCTTCCATCCTTTCACACATGATGTCCTTCTCTCCTGGCTACATGACCAAAGTATGGCAAACAGAGCTTCAAAATCCTTGACTTTCTTTTTTTTTTTCTTTTTTTAAATTTTATTTTAATAATTTTAATGAACATTTACAGAGATGTTGAATTTCCATTCATTCATTGCTGCACTTCTCTCCCTGCCCAGCCCTCCCACCCTCCCCAGTTCACTCCTCTCTTTGAAAAGTAAAAGAAACACTCTCTTCCTGGTACACAATCCCCCCGCACCCGTCCCACCTCCCCAGGTACATTCCACTATGCAAATCCTTGACTTTCAATGAGCACCCTGGTTTCATCTTCTCCAGAACAGACCTGTATGACAGTCCATGGTTTGTTCAGTACTCTTATCCAGCATGAGAATTCAAAAGCATCTATTCTTCTTCTATCATTCTTAGACATTGTCCGGCTCTTTGCTGCATAGCAAGTAATTGTAGAGATCGCGACCTGGATCAGGTACATCTTAGTCTCTAGAAAACACTGTGAAGAGGTCTCTGATAGCAGATTTACCTAATGCAATTTATCTATAAACCTGTAATTGACTTGAAAATTCTTTTTAGTTTCTAGTTTTTATTCATTCATAGGGTTTTTTCATTTTTATTTTCTATTGATGTGCATACAAAATTCTTATACATTGTGTTCCACAATTTCCTTAATTTGCATTGTATGTCATATAATCATTTCCATTCATTGTGTTTTGTAAATTAATCCCATTGAACTATTCCCACCATTATTCCTTCATTTTAGATCCCCATTAGATCTTTCTCATTTCTTTTACCCTCTCCCTCCACCCACCAAATACTCCAACTCCATGATTTCCCCTCTGCTCATCCTCATCCCTCTGCTCCCATCCCTTCCCCCCTTGGACCACTATATACATTTTACTAGTTATCCTTTTTGTTGTTGTTGTCCTTCATTTTTAAAATAATGGTTTCGTGTAGTATTTGTCCTTATGAGACTGAGTTCACTTAGCATAATACCCTCCAGTCTCTCCTAAGTTATATAGTAGCTTTTTAAATCACTGCTCCTGAGTGCTGTGTAGTATTCCATAATGTGAATGAATGTACCAAAATTTCTCAGTCTATTCAATTGGGCTTGAACATATGGGCTGTTTCCATATTCTTGCAATTGTGAATAATGCTTCTACAAATAGTGGCGTACAAA